CTCCTCCTCCTCCTCCTCCTCCTCCTCCTCCTCCTCCTTCTTCTTCTTCGTCCTCCTCCGCCTCCTCCTCCTCCTCCTCCTCCTCCTCCGCCTCCGCCTCCTCCTCCGCCTCCTCCTCCTCCTCCTCCTCCGCCTCCGCCTCCGCCTCCGCCTCCGCCTCCGCCTCCGCCTCCGCCTCCGCCTCCGCCTCCTCCTCCTCCTCCTCCTCCTCCTCCTCCTCCTCCTCCTCCTCCTCCTCCTCCTCCTCCTCCCTCTCGCTCGAGACATCCCCGGCCTCCAGCTCGGACAGGCGTTGTGGACCTCCTCGCTGGAGGTGGGCCCCCTTGTGGTGCTGGTGTCGCTTCTCCTCCCTATGATGGGGGCGGCAATCCTGGGGGTCTGGGCCGGTTGAGTCCGCCGACCAACGCCTGCTGGGGGTGAGAAGCACTGAGATCCTGGCGACTCGCTCAGTTTCGGGCCCTGGGACCCTCACAGACCGATCTGGCTCGAAAAATGACGCGGCACGGTGGGGTCCAGGGGTCCGGTCGCACTTCCTTGCGATGTTCTAATGTTTGCAGATTTGTGCTGCAACGTCGGAAGTCCAGGGAAGGCATGTGAGATGATTGGCTGCCCCCTCCTCCCTCTCCCCCTCCCCTGGGGTCCAAGATGCCGTTTGAGGGGGGGGGGGCGTCGAGGGGGGAGGGGGGCACGAGCTCCTAAGCGCATCCCTGGAGCCCCTGGAGCCTCTCCAGAACCCCAAGACGCCTCGAGACGGCCTAAACGAAACGCCAAGACAGTCCAAGAAAGCATCAAGATGGCCCAACGAAGCCCCACGGTGATCCAAGCAGGCTTCCAAATGGCCCGCGACGCGCCCAAGACGGCCAAAGAGTGTTCCCAGAGGACCGCTGGGAAGGCCCCCAAAAGCGGAGCGCTCCTTAAGGGAACGGGCATTTTCAAGATCCTCGCATTTTGCATCTTCAGAGCGTCCAAGACGGCCCAAGGGGCTCCCCAAATCGCCATGCCAGCCTAACAAGCTATGGGATGGAAACAAGAAGGGAGCGCAGGCAAAAACAAAAAACACCTGCAAGGGGTCTTGCATGAATTTCTGGATATGATCATCCCGTAATGGGACCGTCTTCGCCTCGTCTGGCGAGAACTGGAGTGGGCGGGCGGTGAACGCGGAGCGTCTTGAATAAAGGAACAAACAATGCATAATCATAAACTTTGGAGCTCCGCGCGGGTTTCTTGGATCGGCGCTGGGCCCCCCTTGCGGCGCCTCTGGCGCCGCCCCTGGCGCGCGGAGCGGGGATTCCTTTCGACTCGGGCACGTTCCACCAGCCCTCTGGGCCTGAGTGGTTTAGGGCGTTCTCTCTTCTCTATCTTCCTTTTCTTTCCCTTCCCCCTTCCCCTGGACCTGGACGAGGCGCCCGGCAACCCATTGGAGCGTCCAAGATAACCCATGATATCTCCATGAGGGCCTCAGCGAGCCCAAGATGGCCTCCAAGACTGCTCAAGATGGCTTCCAAGATGTCCCCAGAGGCTCGAACACCGCCTTAGGACGGCTCCAAGTGGCATCAGAGCGCCCCCAACAGAGCCCCCAAGAGGCCCAAATCCTTTCCAAACCTAGGGAAACTCAATGTTTGTTGCTGTCTCGCCGTTTCGCTTCCGATGGCAGGCCCAAGAGGGCCCCAAGACGGCCACAAGAGCGCTCCCAGAGGACCCCAAGAGGCGATGTTAGAGGCTCTAGAGGGGCGCCGCTAATTAAGGATCCCCCCGTTTTTGATCGATGTCCTACAAGATGGCATCAAGAGGGCCTGGGCTCCCAAGAGAGCCCCAACAAGCCCCCAAGAGGCCCCCAGGAGGTGCCTAAACGGTCCCAAGAGGCCTCACGAGGCACTCCTCAACGGCACCCAAGACGCCCCAAGGGGCCCCCGAGACCGCCAAGAGGCATCCAAGACGGTGAAAGGGGCCTCAAAGGAAGCCCCCGGGCATCCAAGAGGCCTCTGGTATTCTGCTCGCCCTCCTCTTCGTCCTCCTGCTTCTCATCTGTCTATTCCGTTCCTCTCTATCTCCTCCTCCCCCTCCATTTGCTCATTCATACTCCTCACTCTTCGACAAATAAAGGCTGCCGCCAATCTTGCTCCTACACTTCCCTGGTCCCCCCAACTCAGTTGAGCATCGCTTCTGGATGGGCTGGTGGGCATACGCGATTCGTCAGCAACTTATGCGCATGGCGCTTCCCCCATCGGGCTGCGCGGGCTGCCTCTTCAGGGCCGCCGTCAGCACCGGCTAGCCCTTCGAGGCGGAGCGGCGATTCCCGGGGTCTGGGCCGATTCGAAGGCGTTCTACTGTCGACTCCGGGGGGGTTTTCGTTGCGGGGCGTTCCCCCCCCCCCCCGCCTCTCCCCCTCGCCGCCTCTTCAGGCAGCGCGGGGCCGACCGGAAAGGCGTGCAGGCGAGCCCCGACTTGCGTGACTCCAGGTTTCCGGGCCTCGCCGGTCCCCCCCCCTCCTAACCCCTCCACATCCGTGCAAGCGAACTGGGCAGAGTCCAGAGCAAACCAGCCTCTGAGGAGGCAGCTCCCGGGAGAGATCTCCTGGGGGCCGCGCACAGATACTCAACGAGGGCTGCTGGGGCCCCTACCCCAAGCGTGACGCACACTTTTCCGGTAGTGTACCCGAACGCCGCCCGCTCGCGGACCTATCCCGGAGAGTGTCCATCACACTGTGCGCGGCGGTGGCCGACGTAGCATCATGGTTATGGTCATGCATGTCCCCGAGTCTTCGCGGGAACGGCCACGTGCCGTCCAGGCCAGATTCCGCGCCACGGAGCCGGATTGGGCCAAATGAGGCCCACGATGGCACCACAGTGAGAAGGACCGAGCGAGCTCAGGCGGCATTGGGCGGGAGCGTGCTCACATTTCCGGCCGCGGATGTACGGGCGCCGGTGCTGAACTCAAACTCCCAGGAGTGGCGGCCGAGCCGGGGTCAGCGAGCTCCGCGCCTCGCGCCGCCAATCTGTCTGGTCCACAGCTTGTCGTTGGCCCCCCGCCCCCCCCCCACCCGCCACATGCCCCCTCCCCACCCAGGAAGGCATCATCACCACCAAAGGTGAGAGATCTCCACAGACGAGGAGGAAGAGGATAACGATGTGCAGCGATGAGCGATGAGGGGAACACCAGCATGAGGCACTCGATCGCGCAGTGGCTCTGCGCCCCCAGCCAAGAACGGCTTGGCAGATGCTGGGATGAGCATTGCGCTGTGCTTTCACAAGATATACGAAAATACCACATCTGGTAACGTATAACATATAACATATAACATACTCCGCGATGAAATATCGCTGCGATAACAGATATGGCTCCCCAGGGGGGAAATAATCGATCGGTTTCGCCGCCAGCAAGAATGCAGGAAATCACAGCTGTAAACGAGCACAATCTTAGCACGGAGGGAGAGGGGGAACACCTCGCTCGACTACCCCAGCACCCAGCAAGAAACACATCGTCAACAATGCAGCCAAGACATTGGACAGAACAATGGTCGCACATATCCATACACACGATGTGAAGTGCTACTGGGGGAATCGATCAATTTCATGCTTAGAAATGACGCTGGCGAACATGTTTCTGCACAAACTGCTGGAAAGGGGAAGGACGGAAGGAGAGGGAAGAAACCCTCTCTTTCGAAGTCGCACTTTTTCGTGACAGGGCCCCCGGGGGGATTTCGACCCTTCCCCCAAGGCCGAATTTTAATTGAATTTTTGGTTTCGACGCCCCAGGTACCGAGAAACGGCCACCAAAGGCCGAACAATTCCGATGTTTCCAAACCACTTCGATCTGAGGTGAGGAGGAAGAGGGCGAATTGTTGTGCTTTCTTTTTTCCGATCTGCGGGGGGAATCAAAGAGGGCAAAGGATGGAGGCGCGGTGGAGAACCCCCCTCCGGCAGGCGAGAGCGCTGTCCTTCGCCTCCGCAGCCCTCTGCGCGCGAAGCCCCGTCCTCGGCAGGGGGGGGGGGCGGAGGCACGCGCCATCTCGCCAGATCGGTGCCCATCCAGCTCCCTGCTCCCGTGGCTTTCCCGCCCTCACGAGCGGCGAACATCTCCAGATCCACACCCTCACGGTCTGGATTCTGGGGCGCGATCCCGTGGGTATGCGGCCGAATGGGTACGCTCCACGCGGGGCATCTGCGAGAAAACCCACCGTAGCCAAGGGGTCGCCATCTCAGCAGCAGGTCTGCGAGAAAAAGGGGTGGGGCGCCCCCACCTTGATGATGTGACTGAACCAGTGGGAGTGCCCTGCAGAACTAGGCGGGCCTGCCGTGGGACACCGAGAGGTGGGAGAGGTGCGAACGGCGGGCTGTTGACAAAGGTGGCCCTACCCTCACGAAGGCAAACCATGACGCAGACACACGACATACAACGTCACCACCCTGGACTGACACTAACCTCGGAGGGCTTCGGGGGGCGGCCATCCCGTCGGGATGGTTATTTTCTGCACTTTCGGAGGGGGGGCAGTAGGGCTCCATATCGCAAATTAACAAGATGTGCACCTAGACTTCGGAGTTGTAACAAAGAAGGGGCAGCCCATGATAATCCCAGTGGCAGCACATGATGTACTCCCCCCAATAATAAGGAAACACATGGAAGTGCACAAAATGGCAACACACAATGTCACAAGACCGTCCCCAACAAAACTGAAATAGCACCAGCATTGTCAACAATATCCCATCTACTAATCACAGAGCATGGCAACAACACAGAACAACAAAAACAAAAAAAACGCAATGCGAAATTAGAAACACCCCCGAGTGTGGAATTTCACACGGGCCCAGAAACATAACAAAAACATCACAATATGAGGCATGCAACGCATATATTGCATGCACGATGGAAAAAGGACAAGCCCAGAATTCGTGACAGACACTTGCGCGTACCATGACAATACAGATACACACACATACATATATATATATATGTATAAATATACACATGTATATGTATAAGAATCAAGTGAAAGATGCGTGAAGGATTTCGAACACGAGCCTGTCCTGAGGGCCGGGAGGACCCAAGATCCAAAAGCATAGCTGCGTGGACGAAGGGGCCAGGTAACCCGGGCCACCCATTGGGCCTGTGTGGAGTCGGGGCGCCACCACAGGCACTCCTGGAAAATTGAGTGAGGCCCCCACTGGCCTTAGACAGCCACTGCAATACGAGGGACAGGCGCAATGCGAAGAGGTGGGCGGAGGGATCAACACGCCCGAGGTAATACGAGCTCGCCTAGCTTCCCTGCTCACTCTCCGTCCACTGCAGCTGCCCCCCAACCCTCCCCAGCACTGGACGCGCACTCCTTCCCCGTTCCTGCCCCACTCTCTCGCGCTGGCTTCCCTCCCCCATGGCCCGCGCTCTCCTCAACGCGTCGACTGCGCAAGTTTCGCCCCACTGGCTCGAGATCGTGGAGCCTTCGTTATGTTTGAGGAGTACGGTGAGGGTATTGGATAAGGAACCCTTCAGGAAATAATTCAGGCTCTGGAAGCCGGTGGAACACCATTGAGGCTTGGCCATGGGCATCACCGCCGCCCTCATCAGATAAATAACCCTCCAGAGTCTGAAACTCACTGGCATTTCTTAACTAACGGCACCACTGTATGCTTTCGGGAACGCTCTGGGCATGATGTAAGGTCTGGCAACATTGGGGCTGACTTCTGAAGTTATGGGCATGTCGTCGAGGAGATTTGGGAGGCTTGGGCGGTCGAAGATATTTCAATTGGCTCGGTGAATTTCCAAAACGTTGAATCGGATCTGGCATGTTTCGAACACTCGGGCAGATTTGAGCCAGGGTGCGCACATGAGCGTTTAGCAGAAGGACCTTTGCGAATTTGCTGCATGCATACGGGAACGACCCTTTGCTGAGGAATGTGACCAACAACGGTGCGTTATTCCTCTTCCTCTATTTTTACAAGCCCGGGGGGGGGGAACCCTCCCCCCCCAAAAAAAAACTGGACCCCGGGGATCTGGGGTTCTCGGGCTCCCTTGGACGTCCTTGGAAAAGGTCACCCGGCTTTCCGGGTCTCCACAAACGCCTTGCCAGCAGACCCAGAGCGATCCGAGGGGTCATCAGAAAGGCTCAAGGGAGGCCCCAGACAGCACAAGAGCGCTCCAAGAGGCACTCCAATTGCGTCAGGACGGCCCCAAAGACCCCCAAGGCACCCCAAAAAGCTTCCCAAGGGGCCTTCAAAGTACAAAAATCGTCTCATTTCCTTGGTCAAACTTATAATTTGAGCAGATTCGCCTTTCGGATGTCATCAGCTTTCAAGACGGTTTCAAAGCCCCCGAGATCGCCTCAAGACGCCCCAAAAGGCCCCTTAGGAAGCTTCAAGACGGCCGAGCCGGGCCCCACGATCGCCCACGAGAGCCCCAAGACAGCCCATAATGGAACCAAGAGGCCCCCCAAGGGCTCCCATCACAGACCCAAAAGGGCCATGGGAGGTCCCCGGAAGTGCCCAAGATGGGTCCAAAGGGGGCTCCAGCGGGCCCAAGCTTCCCAAGACGGCCCAAGAAGGCCCCAGGACGGCCCATGAAGGCGCCAAAACGGCCCACGAGGGCCCCGAAAACGCCCCCACGATGTTTCCGAATGCCTACATAAAGACCCCCAAGGCACCCCAAGAAGCTTTCCAAGGGGCCTTTCAAAGTACAAAAATCGTCCCATTTCCTTGGTCAAACTTACAATTTTAGCAGATTCGCCTTTCGGATGTCATCAGCTTTCAAGACGGTTTCAAAGCCCCCGAGATCGCCTCAAGACGCCCCAAAAGGCCCCCAAGAAAGCTTCAAGACGGCCGAGCCGGGCCCCACGATCGCCCACGAGAGCCCCAAGACAGCCCATAATGGAACCAAGAGGCCCCCCAAGGGCTCCCAGCACAGACCCGAAATGGCCATGGGAGGTCCCCAGAAGTGCCCAAGATGGGTCCAAAGGGGGCCCCAGCGCGCCCAAGCTCCCCAAGACGGCCCAAGAAGGCCCCAGGACGGCCCATGAAAGCGCCAAAACGGCCCACGAGGGCCCCGAAAACACCCCCACGATGTTTCCGAATGCCAACATTCATTGATTTTACTCCCATGACGTTTCGCATTGTGACCCAGTCGTTGAGGGTCTCGTGGCATGCAGCGAAGATGCCCGAGGATGCCCCGTACGAGTTCCATATGCAAATTCATGCCCTTACACACATAAAATTATATGTACATATTTACGCTGTATACACACATACAACACTGTAAGTATATTGCATACACCTAGACATGTATACGGAACGTGCATGCACGTGCGCGTGTATACATGCATGCGCGCATGTACGCACGTACGCATTCCGCTTGCGTGTAGAACTCAAAGGACCAAGGTGCATGGCGCGCAGCGCCAATGCAGTTTTGTGCATACATGTATGTATGTATGTATGAATGTATACATATAGTGTGTGTATCTCCGCATGTGTGTGCAGCACACATCGTGAGCTCGCTTCCCACTCTCCTTCGTTCCACTCGACTTCGGAGGCTTCGGCAAGTCGGGAAGGTTCGGCCAAGTCTGGAGACAGTTCGGCGGCGAGCGAGGTGGGGAGCCCTCTCAGAAGGCGGCGGGGCTTCTCAGAAACCCTCAAGGCTGGGGGACTTCCGAATCTTCTGGGAAGACCCGCCCCTTCTCACTTCCCCCCGGGCTCGCCGCCGAAAAATAGGCGCGTGCGTGGAACGCTGCGCCTGGGCCTACAAGACTAGCAAAGCCGACTGTGCTGAATTGATCGGGCGCTGTGGAATCGGATTTAGGGAACAGTCGCAATCGATTTCTGCGCATGCGTGGGATCGGTTTGGGAAACCTCGCAGATCGACATCGCAATTTCCGAAATCTGATTCCACGATACGATGGGCATCAATATCCGCCAGCCCCCTCGGGGGCAGGTAGTCTCCTAGACAACTGTCCTTTGTTAGCATCGCTGCCTTCCGTCATTTGTCCCTGGCCTCTCCGATCCTGCCTCAATGTTATATACTGTCGGCTAGGAGCCTCGGAACGCCCAAACAAAACGCCCTGGGCGGGTGTCCTGCAAATTCCGACCGCTCCAGGTTTCCCAAGGATTCCCATTAGACGCCGCCGCACGGACGGGAGGGCCTCAGGAGTTCCGAAGAGGTCTTCGAGATACCCAGACGGCCAACACCATGGCCCAGAGATGTCTCCAAGATGGCCCGGCAGTCGCCTCCGAGAGGGCCAGAAGCACTAAACAACCACACTGCTGACCCAACGAAGTTGGCATTTAGGTGTTCTTTCTTGCCTTGCCGTAATGATTGGGTCGGTCTGCGGAGGCACCGTCTGCTGCCCGATCGCTGGCCGCCCATAGGCGCCTCTCAGGCGCCCCGTGCGCGCTGGGGCTGCTCCGTCAAAGTGTCGCCTGGGGCACCGCAGGTGACCGCAAGCGGGCGCCTCGCGGGCCCCCCGCGCGCTGGGCTTCGCGTCGTTCCCGCCCGCGCCCGCCTCGTGGGCGGGCGCCCGCGGGCATTGCGCGGGCGCCCGAAGAACGCAGCTTGCGAGGCATAGATTGCCCAACGCACGGGATGCACCACGTAGTTTGCGCCGCATGGCTTGCACCGCATGGCGTGAGCCACGCGGCGTTCACCGCGTGGCTTTCTCAACAAAGCGTGCACACATCGCCCATCACTTTGTCTGCGCCACATAGCTTGCACCCCCTAATGTTCACCGCAGAAGTTGCAACACCTACGATGCACCGCGCACATGGTGCATCACATATCTTGACGCACAATTTTCAACGCGCACGCGTTGCATCACGCAGGTTGCGCGACCCAGCAGACACCACGCACCTTGCTTCACATAGCTCCGCAGCGATTGCACGATGTGGCTCGCGGTGCAGGAGCCTGCTGCTCAGGGCCCACCACGATGGCTATCGTTTTTCATCTGGTTTGCCTGTCCCATGGTTGACACCCAGTGCGTCAGCAATTCGCTCCAAGA